GGGAATGAATAGCCCCCCGTACTGTTCCTGCAGCTTTCTGTGTGCATATATGCTAGATAGTCCTGTACGTTTCTACGTGTATATGTTGTTGTTCCTGTAGAACAACATATGTTGTTCTACATACATATCTTATTGTTCTAATTTTTCTACATAAATATCAGCGGTATATATTCAAGGTTAGCAGCTATAAGTATAGATTATTGACACCTAAACAAACTATAGAGACCCTTCGTGTGATAGGAGATATGATATTAACGTAAAAAATACTGAGTCATTATCTTCTTCTTCAGAGGATTTCGGGGCTTAGCGTTCCCTCGGCCCGGTCCTCAACCAAGCATCCTTTTTGTTACACACCCCCAGGAAGCAGCCCGTAGCAGCTGTCTAACCCCCAGGTACCTATTTACTGGAAGGTGAACAGTTGCATCAAGGTGAAAGAAAATCTGCCCCCTTTGTTTCCACCTCTGCTGGGGGATCGAACCCGGAACCTTAGGACTACGAATCCCGAGCGCTGTCCACTCAGCCGATAGGCCCCCCCGAGTTATTGACAAATGAGACAGACTCCCAGGAATGAAGACACTAAGCAAGCACCCCGAGAGGGAGACTCGAACCCCAAAACAAGGAGTTAAGTTGCACCAGAACCACGACTGTGAAGAGCCGGTCCCAAGAGCTAGACTTGTATGCCCCTGTAAGTACTATTAGGGGGACCACTCGCTCGGACGCTCACCTTAAATATAAAAATTCCCCCGCCAACCATCACAGTCTGATGAGTCTCTTCCGAAGGGTAATAAATCATTGAAACTTCATTAAATAAACTATCCCTTGGAAAAGTGGAGGCGGTGACAGCAAGCCGAGGCAGATGTCAGCTGCAGAGAGCTCGGGGGCTTGACCTGTCAGGTGACGCTGCCTGGATGACACAGGTGTTGACCTTTGACCTGATGACCATCACCTGTCCTCCGGGAGAATTGGAAAGTGACCAACTGGTAATCAAATTGTCGAAGATCCTCATGTTTTAACTGTATGCTTCTCTCTGTAATGGGAGGCGACTGACGCTATATATATATATATATATATATATATATATATATATATATATATATATATATATATATATATATATATATAATATTTGTGCTTATTTATCGTTTGTTTCAAGACTTTTTGTTTTGGGGAAAACTTTGACAAGTTTTAAGGGGTCTTGTTTACACTCAGGTTTGACTCACCCTACACCCTGGCTTACCTCAGCTCACCCTACACCCTGGCTCACCTCAGCTCACCCTACACCCTGGCTCACCTCAGCTCACCCTACACCCTGGCTCACCTCAGCTCACCCTACACCCTGGCTTACCTCAGCTCACCCTACACCCTGGCTCACCTCAGCTCACCCTACACCCTGGCTCACCTCAGCTCACCCTACACCCTGGCTCACCTCAGCTCACCCTACACCCTGGCTCACCTCAGCTCACCCTACACCCTGGCTCACCTCAGCTCACCCTACCCTCCATCACCCCTTCCCATTTTCTGTTGCCGTTTCTCCGCGCCTCCCTCAACCCTCTTGAGTTACCCCTCCACTACCCCTACACCCGCAGCTTCTTCCCTGTATGTGCGTAGTCTGTTTGTCTGAAATAGAAGACGGACAGATGGTGTGTGTGAGAGAGAGAGAGAGAGAGAGAGAGAGAGAGAGAGAGAGAGAGAGAGAGAGAGAGAGAGAGAGAGAGAGAGAGAGAGAGAGAGATGGTAATGATAGTGTTGGTGCTAGTACAGAAGGTTGTGGAGTTTAACAATCCCAACACCTTGTTGGAGATACAGACAATGAGCCTGATTTTTTCCTGTAATTGTGCCGACGGAAATATTATTATTGTGGCGAAAGTGACGGTCGGCGGGGACGGAAAGTGACGGAACTAGGGACCAAGTGAGGTTTATATATATATATATATATATATATATATATATATATATATATATATATATATATATATATATATATATATATATATATATAATGTATGTATGACCCGTTGATTGACAGGTGAGAGGCGGGACCAAAGAGCCAAAGCTTAGCCCCCGCAAGCACAACCAAGAGAGTACACACACAGGCACCTGTGCAGGCAGCAAATTACACACACACACACACACACACACACACACACACACACACACACACACACACACACACACACACACACACACACACGGGGTGAGGGTGAGAGAGGGGATCGGGTCTAGGCTGAAGACAGTCACGCAAGCAATACCAGAGACCTCCTCCGTCCCTGACTCACACTTGTCACTCCACGAATTCGATTGGGCAAGCTTGGGATGTGACGGTGGTACTGAAAGTGATTGGGAAGGTGGTGGTGGTGAATAGTGAGGGGTGAGGGGTCGCGATAGTGAGGGGTGAGGCTGGCGATAGTGGTGATAAGGCTGATGAGCTTAATAGCATCAGTTATCATGGTGGTTGGTTCAGTAGGGAAGCTGATGATAAGGAATCGAGTGTGCGGAAGGGTTTGGGGTGTGATGTGGTATTAGGGAGAGGGTTAGAATGGTGCTGAGAGTGATGGGAGGGGGTTAGAATGGTGCTGAGAGTGTAGGGGAGAAGGTTAGAATGGTGCCGAGAGTGTAGGGAGGGGGTTAGAATGGTGCTGAGAGTGTAGGGGAGGGGGTTAGAATGGTGCTGAGAGTGAAGGGAGGGGGTTAGAATGGTGCTGAGAGTGAAGGGAGGGGGTTAGAATGGTGCTGAGAGTGAAGGGAGGGGTTAGAATGGTCCTGAGAGTGTAGGGAAGTTTAGAATGGTGCTGAGAGTGTAGGGAGGGGATTAGAATGGTGCTGAGAGTGAATGGATGGAGTTAGAATGATGCTGAGAGTGTATTTATAGTCTCCAGAAAGTGACTGAGGTACAGAGAGGGTACACAGAGCACAGGAAAGCTCTGAAGGTTGCTGAGGGGGGGTACGAACCCTGTTAAGAGTGACTGGAGAGGTGAACGAGTCACCAAGAAAGCAACAATTGTATTCCCTTCATCCATACAGTTCTCTGTTAGACAAACCTGACTCATGTATTCCCTTCACCTCATGTAATTCATGCACTGTAATTCATTACATGACTCGTGTAGTTCTAAGGAACCCGCAACCCGTAGGCTCACCCAATACCTTGCATTTTCTTACGGAATTGACTAATCCGTTAAGAGTGTGATGGATTTGTAACAATGACAATACCGTAACAGTCACTGTTTTGTGTGCGTCGGTGTCGTTAGGTAAGGGGGGTTGCCTGGGTTGGGTTAGAGGGGTTGTCTGGGTTGGGTTATGGGGGTTGTTTGGGTTGGGTTAGGGGGGTTGCCTGGGTTAGGTTAGAGGGGTTGGTTGGGTTAGGGGGGTTGCTTGGGTTGGGTTAAGGGGGTTGCCTGGGTTAGGTTAGGGGGGTTGCCTGGGTTAGGTTAGGGGGGGTTGCTTGGGTTAGGTTAGAGGGGTTGCCTGGGTTGGGTTAGGGGGGTTGCCTGGGTTAGGTTAGGGGGGGTTGCTTGGGTTAGGTTGGGGGGGTTGCCTGGGTTAGGTTAGAGGGGTTGCCTGGGTTGGGTTAGGGGGGTTGCCTGGGTTAGGTTAAAGGGGGGTTGCCTGGGTTAGGTTAGGGGGGGTTGCCTGGGTTAGGTTAGGGGGGTTGCCTGGGTTCCTAAGTTTCTGGTTACGCAAAACTGTGATTTTGTTTACTTAGAATTGAGAGAGTGTGTATGAGAGAGTATTACAACCCCCCCCCCTCTCTCTCTCTCTCTCTCTCTCTCTCTCTCTCTCTCTCTCTCTCTCTCTCCCCCCTACTTCCCTCCCTCCTTCTCTCCCCTTTTTCCCTCCCTCCCCCCTCCGACATCTCTATGCATAAATTGCTTCACAGTTCACTTACTCACGGATGTGTCTGGAGGCTGATGACCCTGGCGAGACCTCCAGCTGTTGTTTACTCGGCTTGTCTACACTGTTTACTTGTGTTTGTCGAGATTCCTTTCGTTTTCTGTTTGTTTGCAGCGGTCACACACGCTTCTGGTGCCCTTGATGTCCCTGTGAGCACAAGCACTGTAAGGAAAATCAAAGAGGTTGTTTTCTGCAGGGTGCAACAGGTAGCAACACATAACTTGCATGCAGGTTGCAAAGCTTATAAGGAGAAGGGGTTAGTCATTACTGTGGGTGACGCCCTCGTCCTGGGGTTAGTGTGGGAGACTGTAGACAACGTGGGGGCAGGATAGTGACTTGATTTTGATCTGTTCAGCTTATTTTCATCGTCTTCCTGTTGTCAGTCACCGGTACTTTACCTGGATGGGAGTTTCACTTTGATCACGACTACCACCACCACCACTACAACCACCACCACCACAACCACAACCACCGCCACCACCACCACAAGCACCGCCACCGGCACCACCGCCACCACCACCACCACCACCGCCACCGGCACCACCGCCACCACCATCCCACCATAATAATATTAACCTTTGATAGTAACAATTAAAATGAACTCCAACCTCTAGCTCCCAAAAGACATACACACAGGTCACAATAGTTATAAGAAAAAATATTTTACATAATAATACGGATGTAAATAGTACCAAAACTTGTCAATGGGATTACAAATATTCCATTAAATAGAGTTCAATAGTTCACAGCTTGTGGCCACTACTCCCCCACAAAGAGGTCGAGTTAGGTTATATTCTTTACTTATTGAATTCTTGAAGGTATGCTCAATTACCCAGCTTGCAATCGTGCATTCTAGATAGCGTGGGAATGTGGGGGGGTAAGGGGGGGGGTAGTTGGAACAGCTTTCAAGGGGGGGGGGCAATGGGTATTTAAACCCGGTTCACCTGGCCTGTAAAAGCGGTTTTTATGGCGCCTCATTAGTATTCAAGTCGTTGCAGAGTGGTTGAGGATACAAGGATCAGCCAATCCGCTTCGCGTGGTGGATTTCACCACTTCTGTCAGCTTCACTGCTACTCCTAACCGCCCTTAATTGTGACCACTTCTTCTCTTACCATTACTGTTATTGCCATAGTCATCACCACTGCAACCACCACCACCATCTTTTAATACAGGCATCAACACCATTGTATCAACCCCACCATTGATACAACACCATTGTAACTACAACAGCCGTCGTTAATATAACACTCATGCTATGGTTATACTCATGGTCTGCTTCCATTATATTTATATTATTATGAATATAATATTATATTATATTCCATATTATATTCCAACCATGGAATAACTATTATATTACCATGGTTGTTTTTGTAAGTTTGTTTTAGAAAATGGAATCAGGAGGCCTGGTCGAGCCCAGGAGGCCTGGTCGACGACCGGGCCGCGGGGACACTAAGCCCCGGAAGCACCTCAAGGTAACCTCAAGGTAGATTCAGCAACTGAGAGCAACAAATTGCAAGTAGCACGAGCTGGTGTATGGTGATGAGGCCGCATTACCACGGTATACATCAATATGTATACTTGCATTCCAGTGTACTGTAGAGGATACTATAGTTTGGCCGCCCATACTATACGGGATAAAACTTCTACCTCCTGCTTGTATGGTCTGTGGTTCGAATCTCTTAGTTCGAATCTCGCAGATATATATATATATATCTGCGCCTATTAAGTTCAGGGAACAGAGGAATTGCGGACCTTGGGATATGTAATATTATTGAACTTGGTCGTGGAGGAAAAAAGAACTTGAGAAACAATGCGATTGAACACTATAGACTATCGGGAGATATATACACACACACACGCTAAGGTTGGGGATCCAAGAGTTGGATCTTGCTTCCCATTGGCACTGACAGAACCGCATCATCCCCCCCCCTCCTCCATCCCCCTCCCCCCCCCCACACACACACACCAATTTGTAACTTCTCTACTTTAACTACTAAATGTCCATCGGAAAAATTGGCGAAATTTAAATATTTTTTTTTGCCTTCTTTTATTGGCAAGTGACGCGGCAGATGCGGTAAAATGGAATCATTTTGCAGAGACCACAAACAAGGTTAGCTGGAGGGAGGAGGTCCCCCCTCTTTCCCTCGCCCCCCCTACCCCCCCCCCCCCTCTTCCCCTCGCCCCCCCTCTCTTCCCCTCGCCCCCCCAACCATGGGGGCACCCCGAAGGTGGAATAAAACGGGCGGTAAACAGATTTATTCCCAGTCATACGGCCCGGCCGGGTACAGCACACACACACACACACTTAGTGCGGCCGCCGGGAGAGAAAAAAAAAATACAATCAGGAGAAGTGGTCCTCTCGCTCGCCGGTGACGCTAACATCATCCTCTTCCCCCCCTCCCCCCTTACCCCACTTTCTCCCCCCCTCTTCTCCCCATTATCCGCCCCTTCCCTCCATTTGTAGACCCACCTCCCACGACCCCTCATCCACCTCCTCACCCGACCCCACTAGACATCCCGTCTTTAAGCTCATCACCACAAAGTTACCCCCACTAAATACACAAATAGCGCCCTCTTTAAGTTCATCAAGTACCCCCACGAAACACTTAAGCAGCCCCCCTACAACCCTTTTTAAGTTCATCATCACCAAGTTACCCTATTAAGTTCAATCTATCCTGACATGATAGTACTTATAGCAATTATTTTGACGAATGGGTAAGATTAATAATTTTAATTCTGACATGAATTTTCTCAATATTTCTTACGTTTTTCTTCACTGTCGAGGGTAATTGAAAAATTAATTCTCCAAAATTCATTTTTTATTTTTATTTTGGTCTGACGCCTAGAAGAGTTTCGTAAGGGCTTCTTACATTTTCAAAGACTTGTTTTCACTTACCATATATCGTATGAAAAATATAATGAATGAAAGCCTGCAGAGGGCCTATTGGCCCATACTTTCTCTTGTACTTATTAAGTATTGGCCAATACTTAATAAGTACATTTAATATAAAAATAAATTAAGCCTAAGATAGCGTTTACTAAGCCTAGGACTTAACAAACAAGCGGCTAGATCAACTTCTATATTTATGTTGATTGTTAAAAAAAATTAAAGAGAGTCCCATTTGGCCAAATTCGGTAATACAAAACGTCGAATTTTGGAGGCTTATCACTGTATCAAAATTAGTATTTCATTTTAGGAGGATCTGTAGGCAACACAAATCATCTCACCTCCACCATAACTCATCTCACCTCCACCACAAGTCATCTCACCTCCACCACAAGTCATCCCACCAAACACTTCAGTACACTTATTTCTATCTTCAGTTATTACTAGGAAAAAAAGGGGGGGGGGGGTTGGCCGGATCACGTTTTCTATAAGGTAGATATTCAAACAAATAGCCGAGAATCAGGACTCTGAAGTCATCATTCAGTATTTACATAGACTAGGTAAAAACATTTTAATAGACTATTTAAGAAAATTGACATTAGAGTTCGTAGGAATATTTATAATAGACTACGTAAGATTATTTATTATAAACTATGTAAACTATATCTAAACTAAACTATAACTAAACTAAACTACATTAATATCACTGGGGATATTAATGTAAACTTTTCTGTGTCTAACACACACACACACACACACACACACACACACACACACACACACACACACATACACACACACCTACCTCACTACCCCCTTACTCTCACAGCTTCCCTGCGACAAATCATCATTAACGCCACTGTGGGTCGCTCAGGGCAGCAATCTGGAGCGTGTGGAGAGGAGAGAGAGCGGGTGCGTGTGAGCGGCTGCTGAGAAGCCCCCACTCTTTATGTGTCCATGTCCAGCAGCAGGTACAGCTGCAGCAGCAGGCACAGCAGCAGCAGGCAAAGCAGGAGCAAGCTGCAAGAGGAGCTGAATCAGTAGGGGGAGTAGTACTGAAGGAGGAGGAAGTCCAGTAGCCGTAAAAACAGGAAGAGTAGAAGAGGCAGCAGCAGAAAGGGAGAGGCAGCAGGAAAGAGTAGTAGTATCAAGAGGAAGGTGAGCAGAAAGAGCAGAAGCGACAACTGAGCAGCAGCATGTGGAACGGGAGTGGCAGGAGCAGGAGGAACAGCAGTGAGAGGAGCAGGAGAAACAGGAGTGGCAGCAGCAGGAGGAACAGGAGTGGCAGCAGCAGAAGAAACAGGAGTGGCAGCAGCAGGAGGAACAGGAGTGGCAGCAGCAGGAGGAACAGGAGTGGCAGCAGCAGGAGGAACAGGAGTGGCAGCAGCAGGAGGAACAGGAGTGGCAGCAGCAGGAGGAACAGGAGTGGCAGCAGCAGGAGGAACAGGAGTGGCAGCAGCAGGAGGAACAGGAGTGGCAGCAGCAGGAGGAACAGGAGTGGCAGCAGCAGGAGGAACAGGAGTGGCAGCAGCAGGAGGAACAGGAGTGGCAGGAGTAACAGGAGTGGCAGAAGTCGATTTTTTTATGAGTATATATATATGTATACATATATACATACATATACATATTTAATCACCCACACAAATACACACATCGATAATCTTTTGTATCACAAGTGATTCAACAAGAGGCTCACAACAGTCACTATACAAGGCACTTTACATCTATGGTGAGTCGCACAGTTACTAGTCTTGCTCCACACCCACCCAACTGGGCGGCAGCTTTACAGTCATGTGCTCCACACCCACCCAACTGGGCGGCAGCTTTACAGTCATGTGCTCCACACCCACCCAACTGGGCGGCAGCTTTACAGTCATGTGCTCCACACCCACCCAACTGGGCGGCAGCTTTACAGTCATGTGCATGCATTACCTACAGTAATCAAATTTTGGATACGTCGCTAAGATTTCGGGCAGCACATCATTATGAATGAAGTACTTACACATTTCATGGACACCAGTTATGGTGTTATCTCTAAATTCCGCGATTTTTTCGCATTCCATTATATAATGACGCAAAGTATGCGAATAGTTCTTCTGACAGAGTTTACATTTAGTCGCCAGGCGAGTGTGTTACCACTTCGCCACGGAGACTGGAAAAGGGAAGCTGCTTCCTTTTCCACCCATTTTCTTTTACCTATCCTCTCCTCTCGCTGTTTTTTTTACTTTCCCGTTTTCTTCCTCTTTCTCTCTCTCCACTCACCTTCCTCTTTATCTTTTCCAAAAAGTAATTTCCACCTCTTGGTATTTGAGTCTAGCCCGTCCGGTTGTGGTGGCTGGGGAGGGAGGGAGTGAGGGGTGAGGGACGGGGGAGAGGGAAGGGAGGAGAGAGCAACTCACAGCTCACATTACGTGTTTGCAGGAACATGTAAAGCTAATTACTGTATTTGCATATCGCGGACGTGTGGCATTGTGGTCGCTCGGTGGGTGCGCCGGGCCGGAGTGACAGCCGGAACTCCGTCTAGGCACTTCTTGGCACTTTCCTCTGAGATGAACTTTGGTGTTGGCACTCCTTATAGGCTCCCATACTTCCTAGTTTACCGTGAGTCACTTCCGCCAGAGGAAGACAGGTTTCCGAGGTGCAATATTTTGTTAAGATTGGCGCCTTTCTGAGATTGCATTATCCAGGTGAGTGTGCTGGCTGTCTCTGTGTGTACTCTACACCGCTGTGTGTGTGTGTGTGTGTGTGTGTGTGTGTGTGTGTGTGTACTCACATGTTGTAGGTCTGCAGGGTCCGGCTTCGGCTCTTGGGTCCCACCTTATAAGCCGAGATATATCTACTTGTAAAATTACGAGTGGAGTCTACAACCTGCTTGTTTCTTGTATTCCAATTTCCATACTATTATGTTATAGAAGTACTTTCTCGCACCTCGAAGGCACCTCGGGATCTCAAGATTCCATTCATTCCCTCTTATAACATTACTTATTGTGGATACTTCCTACTTCTCCACACGGTCGATCTCTCTAAGTATGTCTCTATCATGCCTCATCTCTTCCCCCTTCATTGCTAGTGATGTTAAGCATAGGTTTTCAGTCGTTTTTTTTACCACATCTCAAGTAATGGACGATCCTCTTTGCAAATCTTTGACATTTTCTTTAAGTGTTTTGTGCTTTTTCAGGCAGGGGCTTCATAATTGGGTTGAAAACTCCAGGACACTGCCAAGAGGGGGCCTAACGGCTAAGTGGACAGCTCTCAGGATTCGTAGTCCTAAGGTTCCGGGCTCGATCCCCGGTGG